GTCACAATGCTGGACAGCTTGATTATATTGTAATGCATTGCATGTTACACATTCATAATATAGAAAAGATTATATAAAAAATAATAAGAAAAACATATTTTATAATAGTATTATGTATAAACAAATAGATACAAACAAACAAAAATACTTAAAAAGATGGTTTAATAAAAATATTATGTATAAACAAATAAATACATAAAAAAATATAAATAAAATATGGATTAATAACAATAATAAAAAATGAATAGAATAAAAGAATGAACAAATAAAAATAATGAAAAAGATGAGAGAAAATGGACATTCCATTTATTCCTCTCCTGTTAAATATTATAATGATGTTCAATGTGCAATGCAATTTTATTTTTATTGTAATTATAAATGTGTATCGTATTTTTCAATACGATCTTATAGATTGTGTAAACTTATATTTCGTTCATGTTTTGTGTCGGGTGTATGTCATGTCTTTGTTTGTTCTTCTGTTTCAGGATTGATTTCATTTTATTTGTATATCATGTAACTAATCGTTACGTTCCCTTTCAGATACCTAGATCATAGCATTTCCTTCTATCCCAAACTTTCCTTATTTTCTTTTTGATTCCTCCCGGGTGTGCGGTCACGCGTTTGCTCTCATTTGCTGTGAATGAGAGCAGCGATTTCCACGTGGCCGCATGTCCAGGTGCTAATTAAAGGTATATCAACTTCTTTCGAAGATGATAACCAGGTATCAATTCAAGCGCAAAACATAGCCTCTGAATTGACTCAAGACCGTTTCGCATATAACCTTCACGAGGTTGCACCTGTTTCATACAGAATATGCAACGGATCTCGTTTTGATCCACTAGATTTACCATATATTGGTTTATCTATGGGATTAAAATTAATCCATCTCCTATTGATTGTAATTAAAATTATTGATTATTCTATATTTTTCATCTTTCTTGTAGAATATATAGAATGGAATTATTAAACTATTGAAACGTGCACTTACACATCTACGTTTGGTCATCTACTGAACTTATGGTGAATTTGCAAACATAAATTACCTGCGAAAAGTCCCAATTCCCGTTTCTTAAGAAAATTCTTCGAAGGTAGATTTTTTCCAGGAATGAACTTTCTTTCGTTATTTTTTTTTTTTTTTAAGTTTTCAAACTAATACTTGAATTAATCAATAGCTTTACATTATCTGCATAAATTTCATTTTTGTTTTAAATATCATTAATCATTGATATTATTAATCATTGATTAATGATGTAAGTACAGTTTAAATTTAAACTGTACTTATTTATTCTTATGTTTGCTTAAGTTGTTTGTTTTTCTTATGTTGGCTGCTTGCTGGTGATTGCAACTTTCAAAAACAGGTGGCCATTTAAAAATATCAACAATCGTTCTGCTCGTTGTCATTTCATTTCATTCCACAGTTGTGGAATAAGTGTTGAAGATGTCTGTTGACGATGTCACGTTGGTTTTCGAGGGTTTCACCCTCGAGTGCAGCAAAAAGGAATTGGCCCAGCACAGTGACTACTTTAAAGCCATGTTCGAGGGGAACTTTACTGAGAGGGACAAGGGTGTTATCAAACTCAATGTAAGTTTAAAACAAATCTCTTGTATTGTGAGTGAGTATTAATTGTTTTTATTTCTTCTGTATTTCATAGGGTGTTGACTTCAGAGCCCTGAGGATTTGCCTCATAATGCTGTGGGACAAAGACTTTGTTCTCACCGATGAAGATATGCCATTGGTATTGCAGACAGCCTGCATGCTGCAGTTTGAGGAAATCATAGAAATTGTCAGGGATAAATTATTAATCAATTTAGATGCAAGCAACTGCCTCAAAGTGTGGTTCTTGACTGAACCACTTAACCTCAAACCATTATATCTTAAGGCAAAGAATTTGGCTATGATGGAGTTCAGGACAATTCACAGTAATGGCACTATATTTAATTTGACTTTCGAAGAGTTGCACCAGTATTTGGCCAACGTACATTTGGATTGCAAGGAGTTCGAAGTGTTCATTGCATTCATGGACTGGCATTATGAGAATGGCAATAATGTGATGGAGTTGCTGTCCTGCTTGGACTTCAATAGGTTGAGCAACAAAGAAATTGGCGAGATGATGATGTACCCGGATGTAAAAAACTCCTTGGCGTTGGTCAACGTCTTAGAATGTGTCGTCGACATTAGGAAAGGTGACAACGTGAAAAACGAACTGGCCGAAAAGCTTTTAAACTGCAATCGTCGGGTCAGCCTGATCGATCCACTCTTCTTCGTCTCCCTTGAAACCGACGCAAAACAGAAAGAGGACGATCATTATAGAGGTATTTATTACACTGCTGTTCCGTGTAGAATGAATTTTTAATGAATTTCTAATTTTTAGATAAATATAAGAGGAGAAGGAGATCATCGAAAATCCTGTGCCATAACAGCGTTTTATTGTATGGTGAGTTTCGTAAACTTGTTAATTATTAAATGATTCTCTAATCGCTGTCCGTTGCAGACCAAAATAATAAAGACTTTTGGAAGGCTGTGGATCTGTGCAAAGACAAATTCAATGGCTATTCGGGATACGAGATTATTGGATACAAGGAGCAGATTTTCCTGTTTGGCGGCGAAGCGAGTTTGGGCACCGGCAATTGGAACACTAATTTTTGGATGTACGATACGATTCGCGAGAGTTGGGACCTGAAGGGCCGTATGCCGTCAGGTCGCAGGCACTTCGAAACGTGTATCATCAAGAATCACGTGTACATAGTAGGAGGAACCGGTAAATTTAGGGTGATTCAGGATAACATGCTCTCATACAATTACGTAAAAAGTGAGTATATTACTATTTAAATTCAGATTTGTTTTAGTTCTAGTAATTAATGGTTTTTTTTTTCTTCTTTAGATATTTGGAGCAAAGAAATAAAGCTTCCCGATTCGGGGCTGAACGTGAAATGCTGCAATTACATGAATCGCCTATTCCTGTTCTATCAGAACCACAAATGCGGATATCTTTATTACCCCGAGAACGGGTGCTTCCAGCAGCTGACCATCGGGGACATGCACTTTCCAAATATCGAGGGTAAATTCGGCGTGTACTGTTACGACGACCGGATCTTCATCAAGGACTCGAAGAGGTTGGTGGAGCTTCGCGTTGTATTGAGCAAGATGCGCATTGTGAAGATATCCGTCCTCCCGAAGACGGCGCTCGAAGTCAGCGAGAAATCGGTGCTCTGCAACGACACGATCTTCAGCCTGTACAAGAACGACAATCGGAACTTCTCCATCGTCAAATTTAATCTGCTGACGCTGAACACCGAATACATCTTTCGCGATATGACAGATTATCGCATTGACAAGTCAAAGTACGTCTTCCACGAGGACTGCAGGGTGTTGGCGCTGCAACATCATCTCAGGCTCTCGGACAAAGACAAGTACGTCAACACCATCGAAAATCTCTTCGCCAAAAGATAACTGTCCTTTAACTAGTCTTTATTAATAGTATTGTACATATTATTGACGGCTGTTATATAGCTAACGTTCGCGTTAAGGAACACTTCTTTTTTTATATATTATCTTCATTTTGAATCCAAACGGCAATAATATTCTCATTCACCAAAAAAGAAATAACTAAAATAGATTAACAGAGATATTTTATTATATTTATATGTATGCATGTAGAGAGACAAGACAAGACAAGAATTCTTAAATATAAATAAAAAATATATTTAGAATAGTATTAAGTAAACGAAAACAAATTGTTTATATTGATATAGACGTGGATTTGCTTAAAGGTAACCAAACTTGAAGAAAAATCTAAATTGTGATAGTGAAGAGAAAAGCCAACGATATTTCGTACCTTAAAATTTATTATTTCTAAAAAAAAAAAAAGAATCACATTTTATATATGTATGTATTGTAATAGATAATAATATGCAACATCATTTATACTTATCAGTTAATTATTATTAATATTATTTGATATACAAAGTTAACATCATGAATGTTTTGTATCGCAACGTCTTTCCTCATTATTTATTATTATTATTATTATGTTTGCAATTGATGTGTGTTTGAAATTATTATTTGTATATATATTAAAAAAAAAAGAAAACAAAAATTAACAACAATAATCATCGACCTTAGCAACAATTATTATTATATATATATCAACATTTAGATAACTTACTTATTGGGGGGGGGGCTACACACTAAAATTTATATATATATCTAAAACAGATTGATCATATCTTTTGTATATTTTCATAATATATATATTTTTATATGAATGTATTTTCTTAATATATTTATTTAAATTTATATATTTTATGTTATGGGGTGTTGGAGGAAATGCTAAAAATCAATAAAATCATTTCCTTCTGCGCGCCATTCTTCACTTCGTACTTCTTGCTTTCCATTATATTTAGTTTTTAAACTATATAAATATATATATAATATGTGTATAATATGATGAGCAAATTGATCTGTCAACGTAAAAAAAAACAAAACTATACAGGGAGGTGGAAGGAGGAGGAGGCCGCTCCTGGCAAAGATCAGTTTCTCATGTTCATCAGCGAAGATAACATTTTAACCTTTAGTCGTCTTCTCTTCTTACGATTAGAGTGAAAGTAATGTGTAGAAAGAAATACAAGGAAAGCAATAATAAAAGATAGAAATTCATCGATAAAGCGCTCGAGAGTTCGTAGGAAAGATGCACGAATGTGGAGAGAATCAAATAGAATATTTGTAGAAAATAAAAAGTGTATTCCGATCGCGGTGGCTGTGGGAGGCGGTTCCGAGGTTCGCCGGGAAAAGAACGCCCCCTGTTTCGAAACGTCGGATGCGGGGGTATCGCGTAAAACATGAAGGAACCAATCGAAAAAAAGAATAACTTGGAGGCCTCGTCCTATGTGTTGCGGATCTTCCCAGGCACGTAATTCTTATCGATGACATTTTCTTGAAGGAACATATGCAGGCATCGCTCGTTCTGCGCCAACGGATGGCCGGCGATTCTAAAAATCAAATTTAGATCCTCACATTAATACACCTTTCTTTCCTTTTCAGTTAATGCTGCGGCAGCTTACTTGTTGATGAATATTTCAAGTCCCTTCCTTCGCTCCTCAATGAACTCCTCCTCGAAGATGCCATCGTCACCTCTGAAAGGCATCTGCCTCTTCCAGGCCTTCCCCGGCAATGGAGGCACCACAATCTTGCTGTCCCTCTCCAGCTCGTTCCTCAACCACTCGAAGTCGCTGTAGCGCCGCCTCACGCACGACTCCTTCACCTTGAACACTGGCAGGTTCGTCTGCAAATTGAAGAGAAGACAGTAATGGGTGATTCACATAAAACTACTCTATATTTAATGCTCTCACTCTCATCTTGACCTCGTAGTCGGTGAACCTCTTCTTGCCTACGCCGATCGTGGTCACCGGATTGACGACGTCTATCTCCAGGAAGTTCGCCGGGGCGGCGTACGCGTCGTCCAAAGTCTGCTTCTTGATGTTCAACCTCCTGGTGGCCTCAGCCGTCTGTTCCGATTCCGCCATCATTCTTATACACCCAGGTACTGTACTTGCTGCACCACAACCACCTCCTCCTCGTCTACGTTCACACCTCCTCCAAAGCTCTCGCCGGATCCCGGTGCGCCTTGGAATCCTCTTCCTGCACCGACAACAAGTGAAAGTCGGACCGCCCCCCGCGAACAAGAGATACACTCTATCCTCCGACACCTCTCACAGAAATCGAGCGAACAAAGCGAACGATAATACCAGCAGCACTGCGGTCCTCCAAATCTGCGGAATCCCTGACGATTGAATCACAAATTATTTTTTTCTTCTTCTTTACGTCGTCCCCCTTCTGACAACTCGCATAACATTAGACTAATTGGTCCGTTGAAACGTCTCCCGATTGTTCTGTCACTTGACAGCTCGAATCAGCTGGCGGGAAATTCGAACACGCCTCTCGTATTCCTATCGCATTCTCGATGCAATCACCAATTTCACTTTAAATCCCAACACAACATCCAATCTTAGCCACGGCCCAATTTAATTACATTTACTTTACAAAACGCAAACTCAAGTAATTGCTGGAAATTGCTGCATCATCGAACAATGTTACTTTGCAGCATTGGTTGTATTAAAGTTTACATTTAATTGACTCGTATCACCTATAAAATAATTTCTCCTTCAAATTTGATCTATATCAATTTGTTTACATTCTTCAACTTGAAATATTCTTTATATTGTAACTAATTATTGTATAGATCAAGTTTGAAGTGTATCTCTTATTTTGAAGATAATTCTCAATCTGTTTACTTGCACCCAAAAGCAATTTGGTCTATTTTTAGATATTAATATTAGCATTGCGTTTAAAAGTTGTTTAATTTTCAATGTTAATATTAACATATACCAAATCAGTTCAGTTTACACGGAAAATATTCAAATTAAACTATTCATTATCTATTTCAAATATTAACATTTTAAATCAATGTTATTATTCATCAATGAATCAACAGTATTCATCTAAAAATATGAACGTATCTTATCAGATTGCGTTGATACTTTGTGCAACAAATTTAAAACAATTGCGACCGATGATGACGTTTCGTATTTGTTTAATTCATTTGTTTTATTTCTTTGAAAATTTCAGTGGTAGACTAATTATTATTAAAAGTTATTCGAGTTACGTGAATACGATGGAGAAGTAACGGATCTAATTGTTTAACAATAATATTTATTTAAAATTAATTTTGTAAATTTTCAATATCTTTGTTTTTTTTTTTTTTCTTAAAACAATTGCGATGCGATATGACGTTTCGTCTGTCGCAACTGTTGGAAACTGCGACAAGTGCTTTTTTACATCCGCTTTTATATTAAATCCATTTATTTGTGTTTTTTTTTTATTATCGTACGCAGGGAAGAAATTTCGTGAGACCGAGATGGATAAGAAGGAGCCGGAGGATGCGTTCAAGTACCACAAGTACTTGAAGCCGCTGGTGAGGTCGGTCTCGACGAGGATCTCGATCGCGCACACCAAGTCCGCGAAGCGCGTCCTCGCACCGTACGTGAATCTGATGCGCAGAGGACGTCGAGTGACTCTTCGTCGTGGCCGCGATAAGTTCAACTTTTTCCTCTCCAAGAGATCGAGCGTGCTGATGAAGAACCTCACCGTCTTCATGGCGAACAGCAACGAGTTGCCGTTGCTTCTGCACGAGACCACAGATGTTTTGAAATCCTTGACGAATTCTTTGGGAGCAAGACTTTACATTATAGATCAATCCACGAATCAGCTTTACCTGTACCAGCACAACGCGCCTTACAAGAAATGCAGGGTCAATTACGAGATCGAAGCCGGTAAATCTTTGGCCGCGTACGTTGCTAAAGTGAAGGAGTACGTTATGGTGGCGGACGTTACCAAAGATCGTAGATTTCCAGAAGGCGTCACCTACAAAGGTATTTCTATTAATTTGTGGCTATTTCAACTGACATTTTTATTCTTTCAGATAACGTGAAATCTGTGCTATGCGTTCCTGTGATGAGCAACTCCGATTGCTTCGCCGTGGTGGAGTTGTATCGCGAGACGGATCAGGATCCTTATGAGAAGCACGATCTGAAGATTGTCGTTTTGGTGTGCGGTTGGGTGGGTTTGGCCATCCAACAGAATCGAGAAGGTATGGTTCTGCACAAGCAGCAGGAGATCAACGATGATCTTCTGCAGCTTGTGTTGGCCTTCTACGGGAATACGGTGACTTTCGAGAACGTTCTTGCTGAAATGCTGGTAATTAACCATCGATCTAAGAATTAGTTTTATTATTCAATAATCGTGATTTTCAGAATTATGCAAAGACGCAGCTGAACGCCGAAAAAGGAGCAGTTTACGTGATAGAGAAGGATCGGACAGATTTCTTTGCTGATGTTTACGATGAGGGAATCATGGCCGGAAAGAATTCGCTGATAAAGAAGAAGTTGAGAGTAAAATTTGGAAAGGAGAAGACGGTGGCAAGTTGGGTGGCCAACCATTGCGAACTGCTCAACGTTAGAGACGTTTACAATGATCCCAGGTGGAAAGCTTCAAATTCAAATAATGCCCACTAATCATTTCGATGTTTCAGGTTCACCAAGGAGATCAGCAAAGATGACGATCAGATGGTCATCAATCGTACTGAACTCTGCATGCCGATGATGGGACGACACGGAATTATGGGTTTGACATTTTTCTTCTCCTACTCTGTACCATCCTCATAACTTTAAACTAATTGAATTTGCATTTCTGTTATAAGGTATAATTACTTTGATTAACAAGAAGAACGGATTTTACTTTACGCAAACTGATGAACACCTGATGCAGACCATCGCCACTTACTGTTCACTGGCTCTGCACTATCAGAGGTCCCTGGAAGCTAACGAATATTCGGTGCGTTTTTATCTAAAATGCACTTCTCGTATTAACTTCTATTTTAGAAATTGAGGATCGAGCAGAACGATGATTTAATTGCTCACCACCTGAAGCCCTGTCCGCACAGCTTGATGGAAATGGAAAACGACGAATTCAGTCTGCCCAGGAATTTCAAAGAGTAAAAGTCTTATCTTGTATTTATTTTTTTTTGCACGTTGACTTTAATCGTTTATGTTTTAGTTTCAATTGGTACATAATGAACGATGACATCGAAATGATGCCCAAGCTCTGCGTGCACATGTTTCGTGATCTCTTCGGGGATGAAATCATCAATAGGTCTGAACTGGACAAGTTCATTATAACATTGAGAAATAGCTACAGGGATATTCCATACCATAATTTTGAGCACGCTTTCAACGTCAGTCACTGCATCTATTCGATCTTGAATAGAAACAAGGAATCTTTTAGCTTGATCGAGGTGATTAATCTAACTATATAAACATGTACGCGTTCGATTAGGATTTATTTTCTGTTCAAGTTGCAAGCGCTGATGGTGGCAGCAACTGTCCACGACGTCGACCACAAGGGCTTCACCAACAGCTACTTATGTAACACCAAGCATTATTTGGCAAGGCTGTACCAGGACGCGCCTTGGGAGAACCATCATTTCTACGTTGCCAACAAAATACTCTCGGTATGATTAATAAGTTAATTGTATTTGTACTTACTTACCTTTTGTAGTTGTACAACATATTTAACAATATGGAGGATAGACATAAGAGGAAGACTTACATGGAGTTGATAGAGCGCGCCGTCCTCGACACGGACTTGGTGAACTACTTCAAGTCGCGCAGCAAGATGATACCGCTCCTGGCCAACGAAGAGTTCGACCTGAAGGTAGCCGAACACATGCAACTGCTGAAGGCCATAATTATGACCGTTTCGGACCTCTCGGTGATGTGCAAACCCTTCTCTGTGCAGCTGCGCGTCTCCTCCTGCCTCTACAGTAATTACTTACCATTCGCAAACGTTCGTGCACTTTAAACTTTTTTTCTCATTCGCGTAGAGGAGTTTTACAATCAGGGCGACATCGAGAAATCGTTGGGACTGCTGCCTCTCTCCATGATGGACAGAGATAAACAGTCGAACGTGCCCGACGATCAGATGAATTTCATCACGATCGTCGTGATGCCGGCGATGACCTTGCTGAAGAAGGTCTTTCCGAACACTGAGGCGCTCTTCACGAATGCCGAGCTGCTGAGGGACACGTGGAGGAAGATTATCGATTCGAGGGGCGAAAAACTGTGGCGACAGTGCGACTCCGTCGTCTCCTGAGCGACCATCATCGTTACATTCATCAAAAAATATATTTTACGTACAATAAAATAAATACTTCATTTCTTTCGACCTTCCGCTACTGCTCTTCGTTTGTTCTTCAATGTCTCTCTTTTTTTTTTTGCTCGGTTTTCTTCCTTTTTTTTTTGTTGTTGTTTTCATATACAAATATGTACAAGTATTTCTTAAACAATAATAATAATAATAATTACATAATTATAAGAGTGTGTGTGAGTGGCGGAGGGGCGAGATGAAATTGCGAAAGTATATAATACGTAACGCACAGAATATGCTCAGTAAATGTGGGTAGGTAAATATTACAAACAAAGATGAAGAAAACAAATTAATGGATAAATTTTGAAAACTTAAAAGGCACTGGAATTGTTTTTTTTTCTCTCGTGTAGAAAATAATACTTTCTTTTCGGTATTCTGTTTTTGTTTCTTCTTTTTTTTTTTTAGAAATCGAGCGCGGGTAATTTGTCCATCAGGCCCCTCACGAATTCGCTCTGCTGCAGATCCTTCCCGGTTTGGTAACTGCGATAAAGAACGGGACAGTCCAGAGAGTTGCAGCACAAGTCTGTGCTTCTGTTGCAACACGATTGACATATCTACAAATACAATATGTGTGTGTTCAATTCCATTCACATTTCAGCAATCATGTATGTATTAACTATACATGATGTTTATGGTCACGTTAATTCAATTTAGATGTTTGCTACTGTTACAGATTGGTGAAGGCTATACATACCTTTTTGGTTTCGTAATAATTGCGTTCCCAAATCCTTAGTTTCTCTTGAAGGATCATCGCAACTTTTTGCGGATTTTGCCAGCATTTGCAGCAAACACCGTCTTTGGTCTGTTGGGTGCAGCAGGCGCAACTCGTCGTCGCAAAGTATTGGGAGATGGTGGTCTTTGGTCCCTTGGACGGCGAGGACACGGGTAACGATTGCATCTGTTTGCGTGGCATCTCATTGAACCTAAATATTTTTGTAGATGATTTATTTGTTACGGATCGAATTGAGATGTACTCACCAGGTGCGCAAATCGGCGCCAATCAGCAGGAGGCATCGATTTATAGGCGGGATAATGATTTTGGTAATGTAATAGATGGCGTTTGGCCTGAGATTGGTGTCTTCGATGAGATCCCACGGACTCCTCACCAGCTTGATCAGAGGAAGACCCGGAGGACCGTTGATTATGACGTAGGGTACTCTTTCTCCGCTCCTCGGTATGTTCCTGTTATCGCTCAACCTCCACTTTTTGGTTAATTCCAGTGCTGGAACGCAGGCGCTCGGCTTATACCCGGCGATTCCGCGAAATTCTTTGGCGAACGTCAAATCCTGTATGCTGACCTTGTTCATCATCAGCTTGTCGAACTGCCGCAGCACGTACTTTTTGATCAGACTCACGTCGCGCGTCTCGAACAGCAGCTTGATACATTTCTCCAGCATCTTCGAGACGGCAGGACAACCGTCGCGCCGCACCGTCTCTATACCTTTGGCATCGAAATCCGGCTTATCCTGGTCATTGGTTTCGTACAGGTATCCCACGTAGCGCTTCTTCGTCTGGAGGATGCACGGGTCGTATACCTTCTCCAGCTTCAAACGTACCGGACTCGGATTCGCATTGGTAACTTCTTCGGCGATTTCTGCGCCTATTCTAAACGCGTCCTTACGACTTCGACCCGGCACCAAAACGAACAGCGAGTCTGTATCTCCGTACACGACTCGCGCATTCCACCTTTCCGTATTCTCCACCAAATTGATGGCCCTCTGCAGAGTCTCTCGACCTTTTGCCACAACGCTGTCGCCGATCTCCACGGCCGGCATTCGACCGCTGAAGTTAGCAGCGGTATAACCGTACGTTACGTTCGCTATGAGCTTCAGACCAAGCTGTCGTGAATGCAGGATCCTCTGCATCGTCTTGTTGCCTTTCTCCTCCTTCATAGCCTTCTTCACCAGCAATCTGGTATCTAAAATCTCTTGCAGCATCTTTGGAAGTATTCCCAGACGAACCTCTTTCTTAACAAATCCGATTCCACAAGGCGAAAAGTTTAATTTGTTATTGTCGAGTAAACGCTTCAACCGTTTCGGCGGCATCTTCAGCTGTGTGGCTCCAAATTCAAAGTACCCGTCCCCGCCCAAATGCTCTATGCGACCCACGCACGTCGAAAAGCAGTAGTTGTATGCTATGATCATAGACGGATACAAGCTCTGGAAGTCGAGGACTATAACTGGGTCCTTGTAGAACTTTGATTCGGGCTCGAGTATCAGCGGCAGATATTCCGGTGCTCGCATCTTGGCGCGTTGCTGCACGCTCGGCGAAACTGGTACGAAATTCAACGGTTTCGCCATCCGCAACATCATCGATTCCACCCTGAATTGCGTTCCGCGTGACAACACCTCGTAGAAGAGTATTCCGAATAAACGTGCCAATTCACTGGTTCTACCGACCAGATCCAGATGCTCCATAAGACGCATTATCCCTCTCACCCTGAACAGGTAATATTCGGCCGTTTTCGCTCTATATTTTGGTACTCGATGGACCCACCAATTGGTCAAATCTCTTAGGCAATAACGAGCGGTCCTCTCGTGCATCACGTGGTAAATGACGTTCTCGAAGGTGTAACTCTGCAGTGCAATCTCGTGCTTCATCAGTCGCCAAAAATCCAAAACGATTCGACCGGTGACCTTTAACTCGCTGTGATGATCCTCGTGGTCGGATTGCTTCATTTTGGAATCTTCTACTATTCTGGATAATTGCGTTAGATAATTTATACCCAGCGTGTAACCGCGATCGATCAGGTAACCCCAGGAGTTCATCTCGATCTCGTAGCCGACGAATATATCGGGATCGTGGGTTTTGACCAGTTCGAGTAATTGTTTATAAAGAGCCAACTCGTCGGCAACGTACAATATTTGATCGCATTCCACTCCGGCGCCATCCAGAAGATCACCGTTCTTCTCTTTGATCGGACTTAGGTTTTGTGTATTCACAGCAATTATCCCAGTGGTCTGCTTCTTATCAGGTACATCTTGCTCCAGGCAATAAAAGATCGCGCGGATGGCGTCGTACTGAGGATCTGGCTTCAGGTTCCCTCTGCACTGCACATGCAATTCCAACACGAGGGTGGTCAACAATTGATGCTCGCTGAGCGATTTGGCCTCTTGTAGATTCTCCAGTGACATCTCGAAGCCGTGAGTATTATTCATCGTCGCCCCGCTTATGCGACACGACTCGTCCAGTTTAGCCTTCACCTCGTTATACTCCCTCCTGCAGATCTCCTCCCTCGTCGGAGGCTTTTTCACCGGCTCCAATACGCAATCCTCTTGCGAACATTCTTCCAATCTGAAGTGAGCTTTGGCGTTATCACCGCAAATCTCTTTTCGTGCTTCGTTAATCCCCGAGAAATTGGTATCGAAATCTTCCACATCGTATTTCCCGCCGATCCTCAAAACATTCAGGCCGATCTCCACGCTGCCGGTCACATCCTTTGGATCCCCGTAGTACGGATCCTGGTTTCTGACTAGAGGAAGATCGTACTTGGGCAGCGTGTCCTCGATTAATTTACGGCTCGGCGCAGGTCCCATGTCGATTCTGCCCTTTGTCACGGGCTCTCTGGTCCTCTGCTCGATGATGTACGATAGCTGATCACTTATATTGACTATACATTTCCCCGGGAAGTGGCTGACCGTCGACGATGACGGCAGCGGGAAAAAGTTGTGCCTAATATCGTACTTCTCCGAGGCATTCAGATTCAAATCGGTCTCCTCCGACGGACACAGCTCCACGATCTCCAAGCCGTCGATGTCGCAGCTGTCGTAGTACTCGTCCCCGTCTTGGATGGAGAAGTTCTCGAAGACCGAATTGTTCGGTCGAAAGTTTCCGTATCCTGTGCTCGCGCTGTTGGAGATGGTGGTGGTGCAGGTGACGGCCGCCGGCGGTGGTTGCGACGGTCTCTCCTTCTCCACAACATGCTCCATCTTCACGCATTTGGATTTGCTATCACACACACTTATCGTCTCAAAGTTATCACTATCTGACGATTCAGTCTTTGGCAAGCTGCAAATGCAAAAGTTATTGGAAAATAACTGGAAAATAAACTTATATAAACAACACCGAACATACTTGCAAAAAAAAATAATAAGACAACAAAACAATAAAGTACGGACCAACTGCAATACCGCATCAAATCAATCAATTCAATTCTATATTGCAGTCGCGCTATATATAAGAATACTAGTTTTCTCAAAATAAAAAGCAGTACGAAATAGATGATGGTAATAATATGAAACTCACTTTGTTTCAGTCGATTCGATGCTCCTCTTCTTCGGAGAATGAACCATGACCGGAAGCGTTTGAAACAGAGCGCGCGATGCCGTCGTCTTCCTCGGAACCTTCTTCTTGGAATTCATTAATTCTCCGTCGGAGGAATCATCCTCCCCATCGAGTTGAGCAATCTTCCGCCTCTTCGAGTAAATGCCATTCAGGGTCTCAACGTCCTCCCCAGTTTTTTCCGTGTTACCGTCGAATTCTGGTAGGTTGAACTCGAACGTGGACGGCATCTCAGGCGTGAGGATGGCGTTCAACGACATCGTCAAATCCAACTCGTTCTCCTCTTCCTCCTCCTCCTCCCCTTGGCCTTTGGAAACCTGTGACAGTATGCTGTCCAACTCCAGGTCGTCGTCGTCGTTGAGCAAGTTTAACAAGTCCTCGGCGTCCTGCTCGATGAGCGTGTTGTCCGTCAGAGTGTCGTTCGCGAAGCTGTTGTCCAGGAAGCTGGGCTCCTCTTCGAGCTTCTTCTCGAGCAGCGCTTTGAACTTTACGTCGCTGGGACACGGCTTCACATCTTTGCCACGATTCTGCGTCAGGATCTCCTCCAGCTCATCTTCCCTTCCCATCTTCAAGCGCCTCTGCCTCTCGTCCTCCCGTATATAGTCTATACCCGGATTGGACATTTTACCAATTTCCGCGCGATTCAATATATCCTCTTCAAGAGCGTCCACCTCGATGCTGCAGACGCTCATCTTCTTCGTCCTGAACTTAAACTTTGCTAACTTGATCATATTCATGCCGTGCAGATTGTAGTCGATCATGAACTGCTGATGGTACGGAATGTGCGCCTCGTGCGGCTGGAAGCATCTGCCCATTATCGAACTGTTCTCCAACAAGGAACATGCTTTGCGGACGAACCGCGGATTGTAAAAAGAGATTTTCAGGAAAAGAGCCTCCTTAGCATGGTAACCATAGAATGGTCTGAAAGAAACACACAAGCATTTTAAATCACATCTTTAAAAACTACCACTTCAACTATACTTACACTGAAGAGATTAATTCTATATTATAGACGTGTTGTTGTTTGGAGGAACCTTGACCCATGGAGATGTTGATTGCTTCGTCCAACGTTCTGGCAATCCTATGCTTAATCGAAATGTCATCAGTTTCCTCGTATGGTACATATATGTAAGGAAACACTCCATGTACGTGAACGCACGCCTTAACACCTGCAATTATATGATTATCCATTATATTAATCTACATTCCGCAAAATTTACTTAGTTCTCGTTCATAACTTACATTCCTATTTTATCTATTAATGCAACATTACATAATTGATTTTAAAATAAATGTAAAGTGAATTATTTTATATTGGCAGAATTTATTTATAATTTATATTTATACACTTTGCAAATCTTTTTACAGTAAGTTACATATATAAATAATTGTTTTGCGAATACTATATTTATTCAAGTGTATAATAATTGATTTAAATAATCAATTAATATTTCCGCTTCGATTAAATTTGAATTTTCTATTATATGCTACCCGCCGAGCACGTGCGCTAATTTGGTTGCCATACAAAACAATTGCAATAAACGTCAAACCCGACTTGATATTGCTTATGGTTTTTGCGATGCTGTAACGCAATTAGAGACTACTTGATGGAATGAATCTGAAAGATGCATGAAGTGTTTGTGCAATGCTATCATGTGTATCGATTGAATGCTTCTGCTCTTCACAACGATGAGCCTGGTGCAAATGATTTCGAGTGTGTGTGTGTGGGGGGGAAGAAGGAGGTTTGTGCTGGATGAAACAAAAGCCCACTATCTGTTACCGGCATCGGATGAGGCGTAGATCCTGATCACCGGAACCCTCTCGACCACCTCACCCCTGAACTCGGAATTGAAGACGTCCAAGTCGTGCACGGGTTTGGCGGTGTAAAAGTCCATGCAGTTTATGCGAAAGCTCGCCATCTCTCTCTCTCTCTCTGGCTCTTCGTCTTCACCGGTCTCCTTAAAACATGTTGTTCAGAAATTCCTCGAAGCCGTAAACAAACAACACCGACAACAACAACAACAACGAAAACATTGTCAAAAAATTTGCTTGTTGCTCACTGGACCAGTCCTGCCAACCCGGCATAAACCCGGGAATTCGCACAAGCAAAAAAAAAAGGAAGTAAGCTTCATCGAAAAACTTAATTCGCATTAGCAATTATATTAAATATCTATATTTCTTATCGCAACTGCTATAAATTACATTGTTAACGCATCTCTTACAGATTCGTTGGATGAGCGGGGATTTTCTCTTCGTACGATTGGTAGAACCGTTTGTTATTTTTTTCTTGAGCGTTTGAAAGTTAACGGTCGTATTCAAAGCATTCAAAAGTCGTTTGCGATTCAGACGATACACTAATTCATTTTACACGCAGTTTTTTTTTTGTGACTCTTGTTTTTCTTCGATTTACGATGGCGCAGTTCAGATACGTAAGCGAAATCAGCAGTCTTGTGAACGTTGATGGACCTTTGACGAAGGGCCCGGTACCCCGATGGCAGAGACTGAAGGGTCTGGAGAACACCTCCAGTTCCTCATCTCTGAACGTCTCGAAAAAAAGCAGAACTCCGTCGAAGAAGAGCGCCGCCGACAAGAAGAAAACCCCGTCGAAGACGCCCAGAGGGAAATCACCGGGTCGCATCAATACACCGGGGAAGACGCCGTGCGGCGGAGGTGGAGACAGGTTCATTCCATCCAGGAGCGCCACAAATTTTGATCTCGGACATTTCAAGTTGTGCCATCCGGAGAGCCTCAGCGACAGTCCCACCAAGAAGGAGATGGAGGTAATATAAATTGTTGTGTGCACTTTGATTGCTCGATATTTCATTTGTTTACATTTTTGTTACTGTAGAGATTGATGTGTGAGAACCTTCATGGCATGGACATCAACAAGCAGAGGATATTGGCGTATCAGAAGAAGGCTCCAACAGCTCCAGATGGTTTTCAAAATCCTATGAGGGTGCTTTACACACAGAGCAAAACACCTGCTTCGGTGAAGAATGTGCAGAGGTACATTCCACAGGCCCCCGATCGTATCCTAGATGCTCCAGACATTATTGATGATTATTACCTGAACTTGATTGATTGGAGTGGAAACAATGTTCTGGCTGCTGCTTTGGGCTCTCATTTATATCTCTGGGATGCTGGTAAGTTCAATATCTACCACATTACGGTTCAGTTTGATTAGTTTGCACCAAAAGATATAGATAGAATGATATCCAAATATTTGGGAACTTTATATAAAGCTCTGATTTACTTATAATCCTAGTAAGTTTGATTGCTTTGTAGAAAGAGATTCAAGAATTTATGTTCTATTCAATTAATCTATTGTGCTAATGGTCAAGCTTCATATTTATTATATGAAGAAAATAGAAAATGGTCAATATTTCATAGATTTTGGGAACATCTTATATAGAAATATAGGACATTGTTTCATAATTTCGTCTACCTGATATTCTCAGTAACATTTCTATTTCTTTAGTCCGCTGGATGTTTTTCTTTATTGTTCCGTGAGGTGCTTTTATGTATTGACCAACTGCTCTATTTCTTGTTGTGCTCTTTCTTCACTGTCAAAACCGTTTCTTTGTTATTTTTTCTTCCCATTCAACACTGTATTTCCATTATTGTGTTCCTTTTACTGAAAAAAAAACAATTGTTTTCAGGTACTGGAAAGATTGAGCAATTGATGGAGCTGGAAGGCAACGATTACATCTGCTCGGTATCATGGATACAGGAAGGCGACTTCTTAGCTGTAGGTACGATGTCCGGCACTACCGAGCTATGGGATTGCGCGAAATCGAAGCGTCTTCGTGTGATGGACGGACATTCGGCTCGCGTTGGATCTTTGGCGTGGAACAACTACGTGCTGACGAGCGGTTGCAGGAGCGGTCAGATCCTCCATCACGACGTGAGGCAGCGCGAGCATATAGTGGCCACCATACCCGGACACACGCAGGAGGTGTGCGGCCTGAAGTGGTCGACGGATGGTAGATACCTGGCCAGCGGCGGCAACGACAACGTGCTGAACATCTGGCAGGGCGTGAGCGGGGCGCACCACACGGGCACGACCCCGTTGCACGTGTTCACCGCACATCAGGCTGCGGTGAAGGCGTTGGCCTGGTGCCCGTGGCAGCAGCACGTCCTTGCCAGCGGCGGCGGCACCGCCGATCGTCACATCCGCTTCTGGAACTGCAACACCGGCGTGTGCGTCAACTCCGTCGACACCAAGTCGCAGGTGTGCGCTCTGCTCTGGTCCACCAACTACAAGGAGATCGTCTCCGGTCACGGCTTCGCCAACAACCAGCTGATCATCTGGAAGTACCCGGGCATGACGAAGGTTACAGAGTTGACCGGACACACGGCTAGGGTGCTGCATCTCGCTATGTCTCCGGACGGATCCACCGTGCTCTCAGCTGGTGCCGACGAGACGCTGCGTCTTTGGAAATGCTTCGTGAAGACTGCCGCCAAAGAGAAGGAACCGACACACGTCAGATCCAAACCGAGCGTCTTCAAGCAATGCATCCGTTAACCGTTTAGGTATTTAACTAATTCTAATAACCCGACTGTTGATTATTTTATCTCTAATTCTATATATATTTTCTTAATTTATATTATTATATTTCTTACTTATTTGTCAAGTATTGCCTCTACCAACCCATATGTATATTGTGATTTAATAAAGATATTTTTTTAAAATATTAATATTTAAAAACAAACGTGAAACAAGACTGTACCTGAAGCTGCTGCTGCTGCGTATTCCGCGAAGATTGTCTGAAGATGACCATGAATTATTCAAAGTTTGCTCGCCGTGTGCATAAGATATTAGCGCACCGAAATTCCCTCTCAACATATTCCATCCTTCCTCCTCGCTTCCCACTCGAACGCGTTTCCTGCAACTTTAATGCATTCCATAATGAAATACACCGAGCGGAAGTTTTGTATTTTTATGGTAGTTTATTGCCATCCTTTTAAAGCCCAGCTAGTTTTCATCCAACCGAAGGAAACATAATAAATCTACCGATTTGCTGCGGTATATACTAACACGTATATTGATTTAATTAACTGCGCCTTCGAATAACGACACCATCAACCTGTATATAAACTATAAATTACTAAATTTTAAATAATTTAACTGATGCTAACATTCGTACTTTTATGATATTTCTCGAACTTCGCATTTTATTGCTCTTTCGTATGTCTTTTAGTAATCATAGTTTAATTGATAAACGAAAAACGACAACATTATATCATTTTTCTCAATAAGTATGAATGTCAGTATTAATATGAAATATGCATAACACGAATATACGATTTTCGTACAATTAATGTAATCGGTGCTGAAAAATTGTGATTTGTAATTAAAAGAAGAAATAATAATAATAAGTGATTGCGTGCTGTAAATGTCATTGTCGGGGTTGTTCGTGTTTTAGCCCCCCGGTGATGGAAAGCTAATTAATTTACATAAAATTGTGACCTGAGAGCGTTTTCCACACCTCTAATTGGTGCAGATTAATTGCTTCCGGCATTATTATTGTTTTTTTCTTCTTTCTCTTTTCATTTACAAAACCTCGATTGTTATGTTCGTGCCTGTGTAATGAGATAGATGCAACCGGAGATAGATTGTTACAACATAGATAATGTGTGTGTATAACACAATCGCATTCGCACGAAATCTAACTGTGGAATCCGATATGCAGCGGTCCTAAATCAAAAGCTACGCTATCATATCTAGTATGTGTGTGGCTGTGTGTTTGAGAGAGACAGGGAGAAAGAGGTCAGGTTAAATAGCTCCAAATTGGCGATTGTTCTTGCCACGCACAATGGGATGATTTAATATTGAAATTAACGCCCGAAAGCGACGTGGAATATCAGAAACGCATTCCGCATCGCCTCTGCATATGACAAAAGGAATGTTTTGGATTCCTCCGTCGACGGCATTGTTCCCTCGTGTTCTGTTCTTCGACCGACGAAGTGCGATACGGTTTGTCGAGGCGGGGGAGGCAGCGAAATTTGCACATGAAAAGCGTACCGTTTTGTTTCATGCCTCCAACCCCCCTGCTGCTGCCGTCGACGAACAAACACGCGCTCCGTCGCATTCCAATACTAATCCGGAATTGAATTATCACCATTTAGTCTTTAAACGGTCTGTGTGCATCCGATGTATCTTCGAAACAGTAGTAGTTCGCAAAAATCTAACATCTAAACTTTTAACTTGCGCAAAACTTTAAAAGAGATTTAAAATCAAATGCTTCGATTATGCAACAATTTTAAATTTATGATAAGGTGACTTTAGTGTTGCATAACAAAACCGACGCCCTCCATTAGCAACATTCTCAAATACTTTGACAACTGAAAAAAATAGCTTTATTTTTCAACTATTTGATATTGCTTTTCACGTTCTTACAATATCCTTTCAATTTTGTTGATTGGAGCGTTCGAAACTTTGATTTAACTAGTTTATTATAATTATGATCATGCTTACCATAAATGAAGAATTCTGCTACTGAACTAATACACACGAATTTGAACCTGTTGCAGATGATAATAATAATAACGTATCCATTGGCAACTGCAACAAATAAGAAAACAAAATATACACCCTGTTTATGGCTAACCGTAACATAAAGATTTCTGATTGCGGCCGAGGAAATGATGACGACGGCGACGGGGGAGAGGTAATTCGAGTTCGTGCGGATTCCCATTTCCATTCCTTCGCCGTTGTCGAAATGGGGGACGCATCGGAAAACCGAACCTAACACCCTGCCGATGCCGCTGGTAACTCGCAGGTAACTCTCGAGGAAACAATCCCAGGGATTCGGAATCTATTTGTAATAAAATACATCCCCCATTCCGGCGAGAGAGAGAGAGAGTGAGAGGATTCGCACAGGATTCTAATTTATGGAAACGTCAATAACAAAAATAATTGAAAAACATGTTGATGTTTTACGTTGCCTGGCAACAACTGAATCGGGGTGTATGTGTATGTCATTCGCATTTACTTGGCAAGTAGAGCGTCGCTTCGGATTAGAGCTAAGCAAATCCACGCTCTTGCAGAATGAGTTGATGAGCGCGGATGCGCCTTTTAACGTCGCGAGACGCTTTGATGGATGCAGGAGGAGCGCGTCCTCTCCGCATCGGCGACTCCTTGTCTCTTCCTTTTCCCCGGTCTTCATCAAATTCAATTATGATTGTGCGCCATCCCGGAAACGATAATCGATTTTAAGCTGAAGATTATTAAATTATTCAGGCGCATTTCGGTGAGAAGATGGGTGTTTAATCGGTGTTTCGCTTGCTACCTGCGACGACCGTTCTCATCCCCCCCCCTTAACCATTTTCTTTCATCCTCACCCTCTCTCTACGATACACACACACACATACACCCCAAAATGCCCACCTCACGCACCTCCAAATTCAAATGCAATCCCACCCCAATGTACACGCCACGGGAGCTTATGCATACGGAATTTAGAAATCAATACGATCGCAATTAAACACCGGAGGTGTGGCAACGCGAGGACGGATTTCCTTGGTTGCCTGGCAATGCGCTCAAAGTCGAAGAAACAAAAACAGTTTTGATAGATGACACACCGCTGTCACACGGTATTGAAATGCGAATCCTACCCGGCGCATCCATCCCACTGCTGCGAAACGACTGCAGAAAAAAAAATGTTTATTGTGAAATTAAATGATAAATGATGGAAATTATCAGTATCAATCCAAATTATAGTTGTTTACGTTAAAAATCAACGGCAGATCGACGTCATTTTTACTTGTCATCGTGAGAGGACTACTGTCACTTAACAACATCTTAACGTGTCTCTAACAGTTACATAAAAATGTAAATATTCAATTTTAAAGTATTTTTCATGTTTAACGATCCATTAAAATATTTTGAATATAAACGTCAAATATTAATTGGTCGCAGCATCAGCATTAAATAATTGTAACATTTACAAAATAATTGAAATTATAGGACAAATGATACATTTGCATGTGGATAATTATTCGACAAATTTAATTAAAATTAATCACGAAATTAAATCGATATCAGATTAACAGCAATGATAACGTATTATTTTTAACTTTTAGTTTATGTACATTTTCATATATATTTATTTTGTTTTTTCCATTCTATTTTCATAATTAATAAAGCATTATTAGTGCTCAGCGTTAATGGACTTAATTATGGGATAACATTACATAGTGAATGATCATAATTTCGCTAATTCAATTAAAACTGATTCGAATCGATTCATTTACTATTGTGTTTAAACTGTTTTATAATGATTTCTCCTATTGTATTGTATTTTTATATTTGATACGAGTATCGAACTCAGAACTTTTGTGTCAAAATGTGCGTCTTTTTGCGCTATTTGAATATCAAATTGAACCACAAGAGGGAGTTCTTCGGATTTTGAATTTCAACCGAATCAGTTGGTCGGCGTGCGTTCGCCTCTTATGCGCAGTGGGGGGACGCTTAGTCCGCTTAGTCGTGTTTCGCTGATCGCTGAGTCTGCGTGAGCTCCCGTTTTGAATGATCAAAAGTGTGATGCAATCCATTCAAATCCAATGAATTACCCTGTTTTCTAATGAAATCCATCTCCAGAGATCATGTTCCAATTGGATCTTGGTAATTATATGTTATAATGCATAATTTATTTTCTCAATTAACGATAATTGCGTTTCCGTTTTATTACCTACATTTCCTGATTCGTTCGTTTTCATTTGTATCGCAATTGCAGTTGAAAACTAACGATTATTTCAGCTAATTTATTTATTAGTAATAATGACGCGTTTAAAAACAAAATGGCGGAGGGACGCCACCGATCCGGCGAAATAGCAACAACGCATTTTTTTTTTGTTAGTGCATAAAACCCGTGACGTAGTTCTATGCGTTCAGTGCGCATGTCACGTCAGCGCGGTTGCAGTTATGCGCTTCACTCTCTTAAGTCGACATCGGTGAAAATTCGCGGATTTCCATTAATTAAATATGGATGCAAGGTATTCAAAATACCAGGTCGTTCTGTGTGTTTTTCACGTTCGCAGTGAAACGCATAGAATGGCAAGACCGTCTGTGCTAAAACCTTCTCGAGGTGCATCCGTTAAGGTTTTTGCTCGTATTCGTAATATGCGAGCAATCACCGACAGATCACAGCGGATCTAGGGGCTCGCGTTTTCCCCGAAATTTCATTTCTTTATATCGCGACAGGTGTCGTTAAGAAAAGTTTTGACCATTAGCCGATTCTTAGTCTTACATTCTGATTTACAGTGTTTTGAGCGTTATTTTGAAAACAAGTTTAAGGCTTCGGCTCTTGTTCTTCAACCGTGATTGCAGTTACTCTTTTAAATCTCGTTACTCAATTTGCTATACATTTATTAATATTAGAATCACGTGAGTGTTAACATTCCGGGTATTTTGTGCGTATTTTTTGCTAAATTTTCGCGAGTGTTCGTGAGTGCCAACCAACAACGAGGGCTGAGATGGAGATATGCAGAGATGCAGATGCAGTTGGTGATGAAGACATCAAGTAGTAAGTGATTTTATACCACACGGGATTCAAAACAAGCAGCCCTCCCCCATCAGCTTAAAAATATATTTTCATAATTTCAATTATTTTCTTAAATTCTTTTCAGGTTTTCATAATTCAATTTTGATTACTGCGCCTATTCAAATTTTTGAATTGCATCTTTTTCTTAACTTCTTTTCAGGTTTTTATAATTTAAATTCTTACTACGCCAATTTTAACTCCTTTTCTTAAATTCTTTTCAGGTTTTTATATTTTGAAATTAATGCGCCA